TCCTAAAGCTAAGGCTTAGCCTGAGGTTTACTCACTGTTAACTTTCTCTAATAAAGTCAGACCAAAAATAGGAAAAAAAAGTGGGGGGGAGGGAAGAAGACATGTTGACTTTTCTCTTTCTCGGTTTTAATACATAAGAAGTATTTCATCATCCTCGTTCTTTATACACAGCTGTCCATTGTAAGTCAGCTAGTCCATGATCTACGGAAGTTGCTGCTATACAGAGGGAGCTTACAGTGTGATTTGCTACAGTTGAGAGAGGACGTCGAGTAGTTTTTAAATGATAGAACATTTCATTTTAGCCCAGTGGTCAGTTTTATGGCTTGCGCTTAATGTTGATGGGAGCACGCACAACTGTGCTTTTCATGATGTGAATCCCATATGCTTTGCCTTTTTGCAGCTCCTTCAGTTTAGCTTCTTCTGTTTATGGGCATCTGAACAATTATGGCTGTCACAAGTGGTTTTAGAAATGGTTAGGTCAGGGAGAGGAAAAAATAACCTTTAGGAAAGTGATGGGTTTTTGCCACCTCTGGATCATCATCCCAAGGCAATTTATCCATCTTTCTGTCTACCATAGTTCCTGAGACACACCAAGCTCATCCCGGAATTGCATTTTAGCAGCAGGTTGGAATAATAGATGCTGCAAGAAATAGTGACATTCCTGATGTGTGATGTGCTGCGCACCACAGGGAGTTGAAGTCTCACTTTGCATGCCTTATGGCAAGCCGTAAATTCCTGACTTTATGTGCTGATGTAAAAACCTGTTTAACAAATTCATTGGAGTAGACTGCTTGGATCAATGTTATGACAACCACACAGAATCCCAATGACATTCCTATGAGGAAACAACCAATGTCGATTCAAAGATATACATTCATTTAATATGGTCGTGACAGCCCACGCTAGAATAAAGGAATTCCTGCTTTCAGTAGAGACTCTGCTAGGAAAGCAAATATGATCTGGCCAGAATTAACTGTTGAACAAAACCCTGAACAGGACCCAATAAAAGAGTATCCCGTATTGCAGACCATAACATCTGCAATAGTACTAAACGTATTTTGTAGGTAGCTAATGACATGTAAAAGAACATAACGTCCAATACATCCAACATTAATTTTCTTTCTGCGCAGCTGGATGACAACCGTTTTGTGTTTTTTAAACGAAGTGGCACTCATTACCATCCTTAGACATTCAGTGGGACTAAGACAAAATATAGATAAATGCTCTTCACATTTTAAAAGAATGAGTATCATCCTGAATCATTACCACACAGCAAAAAAAAATCCTGTTGCACGTTACGAGGAATATCTGGACAAAGCGGCTTTTCTTTGTACCAGTCAGTATATACGAGCATTATATATTTCAGAAAGAGCCTTTACTCCAATAGGCTGGAGGGGTAAGAAACACATGAGAAGCAGACTGCTTGAAAATCTACTTATAGAGAATGCATGCGTTATTATATTGCCACTTGGTGGAGAGTACAGTTAATAAGTAGTTGGATATGGTCCAGAATTATCTGTCCTCGTTCCATAAATTTTACAATTGCTTTGTGCATACCAACTTGAACTGACAGTTGATAATCTAAAGCACTCAAGGATATTGCAAGAATCATCAGCTCTGAGTTATTTGGAGGAAATGTACACAGTATTAATTATTAATCAGTCAACAAACAGCCAGCAGGAGTACGTAGCTTGCATAAGAAGGATCATTAGAGCTATTTCAGATTAGCTCAGTATTACGGCAGTGGCAGAGTAGGTGCAGGACCCTCTCAGAAGTATTTAATTTATAGACTCTCTACATATATATTCCTCTTTGCATTTGCTGCAGTGAGAGCAAGCCTGATCTTTATCAGCATGCTCAACATTTCTCAGCTCAGAAAAATCTTGAAAGCCCTGGATTTAAGGTGGATTTAGTTCTCAGGAAAGAGGCTCTAAGAGAACTTTCATCTTTGTCACAAATCCTACAAAGACATGACCTTGCCATTTATAAAGCCATGGAGCACATTAGAAATGGAACTGCCATTCAGGTGCTAGAAGCGATGAAAGTCTAATGGCACCAGTCCTGTGAAGGCTAAAGTGCGTGAGGTGAAAATGTTTTGTAAGAATAAAAATCCCCTTGACCAAAACTATCCCAAATTCAACAAGCTTGAGTTTTCCCAGCCTTTTTATTCCAATGTGAATATCAGGTAGGTTTATTAGCCTGGAAGAAGGATGCGTCATTTCAACTACCGTATCTTAAGACACAGTTATTGGCTGCTCTGCCACAAGGTTATTTATCTAAGGAAATACAGCTGCACATTAGAAATGCAATTCTGTTCAGAACATCACATTTCTGGTAGCAGCAAGGTTCGGCATAGAAGCTGCCATGGAGTCAAGCGAGGGCTGTGACCTGATGTCCCACGGTGCGATCAATTAATAGGGCATGTTCAGATTGTTACAGGCGTGAGGAATACGATGATCCATCCTACCTGGCCTCTCTCATCCAACGGGCTTGCTGGTCTTTTGTCCAACTTCAGTTGCACCGTGACAACACAACGCTCTTGCTAGCTGTTGGGCCAACTATTTCTTCCATCTCAGTTGTCAGGAGTCTCGGGGTATGGGCACACAAACCAGTTACTGCAAGATAAACAAGGGGGAGGATTTGCTCTGCATAGCTGGTATCTAGTATCTGCTCATGTGCATGTTCTTATCCCAAAGAAAATGAAAACTAACCTGCAGGAGCAAGGGTCTGCGGGTTTGTTCTCATGTTCCAAGGGGTAAGAGCATGCATACAGGTGGTTACCACGAACTAAATGACCTGCTGTAAATCTCGGCCCTTACCCCATGGTAATTTGGTTGCATGCCCACGACCTGTTGATTTATACTGCAGCACCATGGAAACCAAAAATCCTTTAATTGAATTCCTCAAGCACTTTAAAAGAACATGAAAACAAATCAAATTTAGTAATGGATTGATTTAGCATGTTGCAAATTCGAGAAACCTGCTGCCAATAGGCCTTTTTCAGAGGCAGATATGGACAGTTCTGATATACCAGTTCCCAAAACCTGGTCATCTCCAGGTAAAGAAGCATCCTCTCCAGGTGCATCCTCATCAACTTGCCTTCTAGCACAGGACTGTTGCTTGTGTTCGGTGCTCGCTAATATATTCCTGCTCCCTTTGCAACACAATTTGTTCAGGATGAAAAATTGGCTATAATAGAAGTCCGTGTTTTGTGCTACATAAATCTGTTTTTATATATATATAATTAATATTTTATTAAATTTTAAACATTAAATTACTTTTCTTACAGAATAAAAGATTACATCTCCCAGCTCACGGATGCAGCTCTACATATAAATAATATATATAAAGTAACGTTAATATATCAACAAATATCAATTTACTATAAAATAAAATGACTTAGCCCAAAGAAGGATGTTTTCTCCCAATTATTTCTCATGAAAAATGTATATAAAATCACCACAGCAGCAAACAAGATAAGCATTTTTCCCCCTTTCCAGGAAAAAAAACAAACTACTTCCAACAAGTATTTGGATAATTAATATGGGACAAATCATGAGAACTACTCATAATGCCTAATAACAACTTACTCAACAAGAAGCCCTACTGACTTAATTTGGTACGAGTAGGTGTGGCTTAGGACCGTGCAATTTGTCTATATGGAAATACAGGCATAAACTAGAGGGGTGGGGTTAAATCCTGGCCCTCTTGAAGTCAATTGACCTCGCTAGGGCTAGGATTATATTTTAGATTTCTGAATTGCTTGCTCTCTGTGGTGAGAAGCTATTTGTATAAGCAATCCCCATGGATTCCCTTGAGAACTGTGTAAATGACTGTTCCCTTGAGCTGTCTAAATGACTGCTCATCCCTTGGAGCGTGGGAGTCACAATCTGGCCCCTATCTACCTACTCACAGTACAAAAAAAAATCCCCCAAACAAACCAGAGATTAGTTCATAGTGGTCTCCCTTGTCTTGATGGGGAAAGGACACTCTCTCACAGCTGGAAATAGCTAACCCAATGCCATGACTTGTTACCACAAGCCCGTATTCATTTGAGCTTTTGCAAAATTTAGTCGGATAAGCACATGACTCCAAAAGTGATCCCACAGGAATCAAAAGGTTGCGCCCATCGCAAGCTACGCTGATAACGTGAGAACGGCAGGATCTGTGCTCTCATTTTAATTTGACTACTCCAAGCATTTTCAAATAGGACAGCTCTCAGGAGAAAGATGTAGACTCTCGCTGCACAATATGTTGTTATAGAAAGAGATATTTCATTTCCCCTGGCAAACATCACTATTTTTGGAGGACCTTGCTTTGTTTCAAAGCAACCCTTTGCCATCCCTTAGGAAAAGGCAAGAGATATGGTATGGCCCTGAAGAATGGCTGACTGAGCAATTTCCATCATACCTCCAAGTATCAGTGCCATCTTTTTCCTACTGGCATGCCAAGAGGGGCAAGCCTGTCCCTTGAGTAAAACATTATCTTTGTCTATGAGTAAGCTCTGTTCTCAGTGGACACTATTCCCCACTATGTGACAAGGGACATAATTTTCCCTTCCTCTGACCTCATCCTTTGTGGTAGGGGTGTAGGTTGTAGCCACGTTGGTCTAAGCCGTGTTGGTCAACCCCTTGAGTTGGGAGAGGCACATGTGATCTAACCAGTGACATTAAAAACCCTTGACCTTCCCCCACATTGAGGAAGGGAGATGCACATTTATACTCACGATAGGTTTGGTGCTCATCACAAACATTGGAATTCCCTGCCTTGTCCTCTTCATCTAGCTAAGGGGAGGTTCAGCCCTGCGAAAACCTAGGGAAGTTGCATCACCAGGTTTTGCCCTGGATAGACTGGTGTGAGATGATAACTTTGTAGTCAGACCAGGGTCCTCTAGGAGCACTACATGCATTGGCTGCCCAGAAGATACTTGGGATCACTGTTGTGATCTCCTCTGTCTCCTTTTGTCCCCTCTGTGCCCAAGCTCTCCAAGTCTGGGGGAGCTAACATGGGTATGAACCCTCTCTAAAAAGATCTGAATCCCCACTGTTGCTAGTCAGACTTCTCTCTTCAGGGCACCCACAGAAAGAGTTTAACCTGCCATGCTGTCCAATATGTAGCAAGTTGCGCAATGCTATCTCTTCTTTTTCTTCAATGGGATAAAAAGGAAAAGCATTCCCTGTCACCAGAAAGAAAATTAGCAACATCTCAGAACTGGTGCCAGGTCTATAATGACTGTACACAGATGTTAGTGGAGTAAACTTTGGAAAAATATGATAAAGACTGAACAGTCAGCCATCCCCTATTGGGTGGAAATACTCAGAGTAGCTGGCTGAGTGGGAACATGTGCAAAACGAATGAATCGTGGATGGAGCCCAGATGCATGGGAACATCTGCGATGATGATGTTGGCATTGAGAACTACTTGCATATTCATGCTGTCACTATTATCCCTGCTTCTGTACAGCTCCTTATTGTGCAGAAGAGCTACAGAGCTCTTATACATTTGCAGTCAGCAGCTCTGAATGCATTGGGGTATCCGGCTAACCACTGAGAAATCTTATTTTCTATCAGAGCAAGCCTAGTGAATCACAAATAGGCTCTTTGTTTTGCGATGTCAGACCTGCCACCCGTCCAGACCAAAATAGGCTTCTACATGGCCATCATGGCTACCTCTCACAACTGCCCCTCATCCAAAATAGAGCAGAAGAATACTTTTCTGCAAGGGTAATTGGTGCTGCCTCAGTCTGGAGGGGCACCTGCAGAAGCAGCCAGCAATGGGGACAGCCCTGGGGTCTACCCTACCAATTGCCTATGCTTTTTGGTAAGTACATTCATCTCTACAAGAAGTGCTAAGTCTTAGAAATGGCTGAGTAAAGGAGTTTTAATGTCAGTATCAATGTAGCGGACTGCACAAAGTAATCTGCACCATGTTCAATTCTGCTTTTTACTTCCCAAATGGTATTAATGAGCCCTCCAGGTAAAATCCAGAATCAAGCCTTTAGCCTCTGCAAATAGATTGATACTGAAATGGGTTGACTACTGATGTCAGCAAGAATGAAAGGTGTCCAGGTGCCTACAGCATGAGTTACCTAGGCTTGGACACAAGTTATTGCAAGGTGAAAGAGGGTGGGGCTTATTACCACATACCACGTGGTCCACAGTGACTACTCCTGTACCTGCTCTTGCCCCATGGTCAACAAGAGTTAACTATCAGTAGGTAAACCCTTAGTGAAAGAGGGTGAAAGGTGCAGTGGATTAATGTTAATTTACCTGTTGAATCATGGTAAATCCCTGCCCTCCTTTGTCCCACAGTAATGCTTTTGTGTGCCCGTGCTGTTAGGCTGGAAGCTCTTGGAGTCGGTACTTCTGCCGTGAGGTTGCTCTATAAAAGTCCATAGCACCTTTCCACACTCAATGGACTGGGAGGTTATTAAAACAATCACTGTTTGCCCAACTGATCAGAATGACGTTGATACGTTGACTAAACACATGAAGAAATTCTCCATCTCCCTGGGTCATCATGGTTTCATCGTGCCTGTTTTTAACTATATCTTCCCCAAAGTTTCTCACTATCTGCTGCTTCCCAATGCTCTGGTATGCTTTCTTTTTTTTTTCCCCTCTTTCCTTTTTTTTTTTTTGACTGACTACTTCCAAAGGAAAGATAATTGCAGAATGCACCCAGTTCCCACTGTTTGCAGCTCTGCCATCATTTGGCCTGTCTAATGTGAGCAACTTGACATATGCTAATTAGGGTTAATGAGTAAAATGTTTCACATACAAGGCAGCAGCCATATATTCTTTTTTCCTTTACTTTATGAGGTCAACACCTCGCCCGCCTTTTCAATGACGACCACATCCAAGAGACATCCATCAACATGACTAACCCCGCCGTCTCTGACTGACCCTGTAAACTTAACTACTTTCCTTTTTTTTTTTTTTTTTTTTTTTTTTTAACATGCTTTTTTCTTATGCCCTAAGCACCAGACTAAGAGCTTCAGCAGCAGCACCGCTGCCTGAGGTCTTTGGGCCACAATATTCTGTTTCCTTCATGCACAGCCAGGTACAAGTGCCAAGTGAAACATCTTGACACATAATGCACTCAAAGGCAGTCAAGGAGGCTTGTTAATGGACTCGAGAGGACTTTCAATCACAAACATTTCTCTTAAAAAATAAATAGTTTTTGTGCACCAAAGCATTCTTTATGAGATACGGTGTAGTGACATGACCTGGGAGTGGAAGTGATTAAAAATAATCAGTAATAAAAAATGTGGGTTGCTTAGTCTCCCCTCACCCCAAAGAAAATGTGGGGGAATCCGTGAAGAGTCAGAACAAAGATGCGTGTGCAAATTCTGATCTCAATTATGCCAGGGTATATCTGTAGCAATTCTCCTGACATGCAACATATGAAAGAGTAAACAGAATTATGTCAGAATTTTTCTCTCTAATGTCAAAAGCAACTTAAATAGTCTTGCCTGAAAACTTTCATTCTCAAGTTGTTTTTTTTCTGAAGAGATCACGGAAAGGAACTAGGCACAGCTGGTGTATTGATCATGGTCCATCATGCTGACCAATACGTTCTCATCATTTTCTTGTGCTTTCCTGTCTGTCCCTATCCA